CAACCCCCCCACCCCACCTAGCCCCCACCGATACCTCCATACCCCAGCATCCAGATGACGAGCCAATGATAGATGGTAAAAGGCTACAACACCCCAGAGCTCCAAGGCACAGTTGGAGCAGCTCCTCAGTCCATTCCCCAAAGAAACATTTTGGGCAGTTCTCCAAAGCAGTGCAAAGAAGTGCCTCCAGCAGCAGCAGACTCCTCCAGCCAAGCCAGCTAAGCCAATCCAAGAAAACTGCTTATATAATACAGATATATTATTATAAACTTATAATAGTATAAATGTCCACAGTTTGATTATGACAGATTTATACAAAAATTAAAACCAATCTAATTGAAACAATATAAACATCCCTATGACATTCTCTTAGCTGATTAAAAAAAGCTCTCCAGAAGAACTCTGTTTAACTTACCTCCATAAGGCAAAAACTGTTAGGGCTAATCTAGTTTCTTGGGAAAGGCTGTTCCATAATATAGGAACTATCATAGAGAAGCATTTCCACCTGGCCGCAGTTCTCCTGATTTCATGGTAATAGGGAAGTAGAAGCAACTTTTCCCAAAATGTTCTTATCAGGCCAGTCAATTTTTCCATGCAGAAGGCTCTCTTGAAGGTACCTCAGCATCATACTATACCATACAAGGCTTCTAGGTCAAAATCAGCTCTTTGAATTGCACGTAGAACCTATTGTCAGCCAATGTAGGGCCTGCAGCACATATATAAAGCAATGCCAGTTAACATCTGGACTGCTGCATTTTAAATCAATTGAAGTTTCTGAATTATCTTTAAAGGCAACCCCACATTGAATGCATTGCAGTAGTCTAAACAAATGGTGATAACAGAATGGTTTTCTGTACACAATCCAGAGCTGGGCAAAGGCCCTCCTGGCCACAACTCCACCTGCCCATCTAGCTGGACCCCCAGTTCATAGACCTCCTGCCTCAGGGCAGTACTACTCTGGTAGAAAACCTTGTTGAATAAACAACAACTCCATCTTGCTTGGATTCAGTCTTAGCCTATTTCTTCCCATTCAGGCCCCAACAACTTCTGAATACTGGGAGCAGTGCAAGGTGGCAACGTTCACCATATTGATTATACCATTCCCTTAACCTTGGATGGCCTCTCCTAATGGCCTCATGTAGATATTTAAAACTAAAGGGAAGAGAACCAACCCCTGCAGGATTTCACATGTAAGAGGCTACTGGGCTGATCTCTCTTTACCTATAACCATCAACTGGAACTTTCCACTGAGAAATGAACAGAACCAATGGAGTAAGACTTCCATTAGATTCTGTACTGACATTAAGATATATTATTTCTATAATATAACTATAATCTGACAAGTTAATAACTTTATCAAAAGGAGAAGTTTAATGAGTTAATTTTGCTAAATCCACACTGGTTCCTAGCAATCAGTGCAATATTTTCCAAAAATACTTTAACTGCTTAATAGTGTTAGAATTTTGGTTGAGATGTCTATCAAACTAATATAGAGTTTCCTTTGCCACTTTTAAAATATACGTATAGTATTTACATGCTTCTAGTCTTCCACCATAGTTCCCATTTACAAAGAATTTTTGGAGATGACAGGGAGTATCTATCGTCTGGGTTCACTCACTGAACTAACCTACAATATAGTTTGTTTGGTTTTGGCTTAGCATGTTGCATGAACTCAGTTGCTGTGATTCTTAAACCATAGTTTAATAAATAAATAAAACCAGTTTTGAATTATTCAACAGACCATAGTAAAGCAAACCAAGGTTTAATATGATACGTGAAGTGCAAATTCTTTCAGCACCAAGTAACAGTATTCAAAGCTATTTTTTAAAAAGTCAATTATATCTCTCTGTTTTACTTAAACCATTAGTGTAACAGTTACTGGCACATGTGGAATTTTTTGAAGTATATTTTGAAAAGGTTATGTATCTGCCTGAGATCTTAAATACACTGATTTATTTTTAAATCATTTCCTGAAACAAAAAAAGGATCTTTCTGTTTTTTTTACTAGAACACATTACTATTAGAAGTTAAAGTAGACTAAAATTATTAGAAAGTTAGCTTAATACAACAGAACATTCACACAAACAATAACATATTTCTGCATTAGGCTTCTAAAGTAATTGTTTAACAGCATACACAAGTAAGAATTTAACTATACACAAGAATTTAAGCATACAGAAGTAAGAATTTATGTTGTCCATTTCATATAGATCAAATGGCTTTAGCATAAATTTCCTTTTTATACTTTTTTCCCCAATCTAATGTTTATTTAATACTGTAGTTTACATCTCATTTTTATATTTATGGGTAAATAAACTAAAAGAACATTTTCTCTCCAAGATGCACGTCAAGCATCTTTATCAATATATATTTTCCTGATAAAGATAAAAATCATATTTCCAATATCTGTAGTTTCCTTAACAATTTTTGTCACTTTGCAAAGATCTGTATATTTAAGAATCTAACAAGACATATATGACTTTCATAGTCTTTCCTGGCTCTCAGTTCCACTAATATTGTGTCATTAGATAACAGAGTCAGAAGGAAAATAAATGTAGGTTGCTGTCTGTCTCATGGCTGACAGGTTCTTCTTTCAAGCATCCTTTTTATTTCTTTGGTCTGTGATTAAACTGTTTTTCTTGGAGATTTTTTGTATTTGATCTACCAATATTCTAATTCAAATTTGCAATCCTTCTCTGGCTTTTGTTGGGCCACTGGGGATGCAGGTAAGTGCTGGTGCAAATGCTTCTTTAAGAGAGAACAAGATGCCATCAACTTTTATAGAAATGATGGGGTACCCTCATTTGAAGAAGCTAACTCTTGATCTGCCCTTGTTAGATAATTGTCACTCTATCTCTAGCCTTCTCTCTCCTTCCATGGAAAAGCTTGTGGAAATGACAGTGGTGGCTCAGCTACCACTGAAGAACATTCAGAAGCTTCAGCTGGTTCAGAATGCAGCATCATGTACAGTATTAGGCGCTCCCTCGTATGCCCACATAGCACTGCTGCTATGTGAGCTGCACTGCCTCCCAGTAGACTTCTAGGTACAATTCAAGGTGCTGGTTGTCACTTTTAGAGCCCTACATGGCATACGGCCTGGCTATTGCAGGACTGCCTCTCCCTGATTGTATATGCCTATCCCATCAAATTGGGCAGAGAGGGCATGTTCCAGGTCCTATTGGTGAAGCAATGTCACTTAGTGGGCCTAGGAAGTGGGCCTTTTCTGCCATGGTGCATGTCCAGGTGTGCCTGATATGTGGACACTGAGATTATTTTAGGGGCCTCAAACTGGTTTTTCTTCAGTGAATTGTAAATTTAGTTTGGCTTTTATCTTTGTTCACTGCCGAGGGTTTCTTTGGTAGATATATGCCCATATCTACTTACTAAACAAGGGAGGGAAGGAAGGAAGGAAGGAAGGAACCATTGTTTTTGGAAACTGCAATAGAGTATTTAGCACCAACCAATGAACACTCAGTGGTCAGTGGCTATTAGCCATTCCTGAATGTTATTCCTGGCCACATTTTCTATGGCAATGCTACCATTCTTTCTTTCTCTTTTATATCAACTTTCTTAGTGTTTGTGATGCATGGTACTCAGCATATTAATTAAGTCATTCTGGGATTCTGTGGCTTTGACTTTACATGCAGTTATTTGAGGATTATAAACATAATTTGTAAAACTTCTACAACTCTGAATTGTACAGTTAAAACATGCTATCAACTAATTTTTGTATGTTTTAATGACTAATGACAGCAGAAGCTGGTTTGTAGCTTTGTTAATTTAAGTCAGTTTTCCTTAAATCCCAGTGACTGCCACATCATCCTTCCACTCCTTCCTTTGATTTTTTTTTAAAGATAATCATCATAGCCAAGGACTTTTGTGCCTCATTAACTTTTATGTTTGGTCATAATACAAAGAAGTATAATTTTATCTCTGCAAAACTAGTTCTGGCTTCTGTGAACCAGGTTCCATATTTTCGCATTAAATATTTCTCAAGTCAGCACAATCTCAGAGTAAACTCTTTCAAGCTAATTCTCAAGAACTCTAATATATGCCTAGAGTTCACTTATAAGAAGTGCACTTGCACATAAAGCAAAAAGTGTTCCCTTCTACATAATTAAATACTGTACTCCTCACTGAAGGGGTTCAAAATATATATTGGGAACACCTATGTAAACAAGAAAATTCAGAAACTCCAGTAGTGATAACTGCTGTAAAAGTATGCAGATCAATACATTTTATGGAGTTCATTCCAGTTGTGAGCCAGCTCATGTGACTTTTTGATATGCTAATTGTATGGAATGTCTAGAGATTAGGTACTAATTGATATGCCTATTTTTCTTGACTATAATTTAAATATACGGGGCAAGCAACACTTACTTTGGCAAATGCATCCATGGCTAGGTATTTCTGTTGTTGATCTTGGTCCTCATTTTTGGCTGCTAAGTACCTTGGAAGTTATGATTATGATACATGTAGAAGATAAGAATCCAAGAGCATGAATCAAATGTGAGATTCTATGAGAGGCAGACTGTAGAGTTCTGTTTTTATTTGCAGACATTTGATATCTATGTTGTTACACTTGTAATGACCCTTTTAAGTTTGCTATGAACATTTTCTCTTCAGATAGTCCAAGCACTTTTATATTATTGAGTGTTAAGTCTTATGCCCATTTTTTGCAGCTATGTTCTCAATGTGACAAGCGAAGAATTTGTAACGGAGCTCTTGACATTGTGATAGAGAACAGCAACCTATATCCCGCTGTGCTGAAAATTTATTCTAGACCTCTTGAAGCCTGTTTGAGGCATTAACAATTCATAGCAAGGTTTCTGGTTTCCTACATTTAAGGATATAAAATAACAAAACACTCACTTCCTAAGGAGTGCATTGAATCTAAGTGACACAGTGAACTTATTTATTCATTCTCATAGTTACATATGATGAGATTTTTGGGCTTTATATGTTTCCTCAGTTCCTTGGACTAGAACACAAAAACCTCTTTGTTGCTAAATCCATCCAGAAGCAAACTGGTAATTTACTCAATGAACAGGATTTAATCATAATCTTCTATCTGTCAAATAAATTGTAATAGTAAAAATTTACACGAAGCATATGGTATGTAACAGTTGCTGTCATTCAGTATTTATTTGAAGGAATTTAGATAGCAGAAGAGAATATAAAAGTTAAACTTTAGTAGGCCTGATGTGAAAACCATATGAATATACCTCTACTGCTGAAACAAGGAATAACATAACTTTTTATGACAATTTAAATCGTAAATACTTGTGCTTAAACACTTTTCAGCACTCTGAGATATAGAGTGTGTTTTAGTGCCTATTACAAACTATGATATATAAGCAAATGGTGGCACTTTTCAATATTCTAAAATCTACATAGAATTTATAATATTTAGTTTGACATGTACACTGTGTATATCATTATACCTTAAGTCAGGTGTTTATGTCTAGCAAATAATAATAATAGTATTCATGGAACATGCCATAAGCACAATGGATTTTTAAAATTGTCCTTCCCTTATACCAGCCCCAAACTTCCCACAAATATATTCTGGAGATTAAGGTTGGCTTCCCATACAATTTCTTACATAGTGTAAGAAGGGATGGGCAGAAACAAAGTTTTATGTAATTTAACTAATGTCAGTTTTAGCAGTTTGATGTGGTATTAGCTGATAGCATTTAACAGTCATGGAGAAAAAGGAATAAAGCACTTTAAATTAAATAAATTATCTAAAATAAATAATGTGACCCATAGTATAACTTTGCAAATTATACATTGCATTGAACAATAACTAAGGGTAAGAACTGGATTCAGGCTATAACCTTATACCTATTTGCTTGGAGTAAATTCCATTTATTCAGTGGGAGTTAAATCTCATTACATATGGATAGATCTGCACTATTAATATTGCAGATGTATTTAAAACATATAAAAGCTATTTGTAGCACACATATAGTTGACACAGTGGAAATTCAGTGAGGGCACTACAGTATGAAATCGAATCAGGCAAAGCATAAGCAGGAAATATTACAGCTGAGATATTGCCTTCAAAGGGATTCAGACAATCCAACAATGAGAATTCTTGTTAACTGGTAAGTGATTATAAATAAATGAAGAGTAAAGAAGCTAATAAAGGTTAACCTTCCATTTTGGTATAATATGGGTTCTATTCCTTGGGTAGGTAAAATAAATCATACTATTAAAAGATAATTAAAATACAAGGCACTTAAGTAGAGCATGATAATGCTTTATGATAAGGGTTGCCAAGGCATAAGGTGGGAAATGTTAATGTATGTGGCAAACAGTCTGAGCCTTGATATTAAGGTGCTCGTGTCTGTGAAGTATTTCAAAAATATTGTCAATATTCGGTACTTGGTTAGGAAGTCTAAGAAAGCTTTTAGACATTTTTTCATCAATGCTCGAGCTGAATCATATTTAAAGCTACCTTTCACACAAGTAGCTTACTGAAGCAATAACTCTTTCATATGCCCAGAGTGAAGTGACTAAGTTATAGTGATGGTCCTTGTGAAGAATTTGACATAGAGAGAAAAGTTAATAAATCTTTTGTGTTTCAGTTTCCATTTGGATTTCTCTTAGCAACCTATTTTGAAATATGTATATTGAGAAACTGAACAAAATAGTGATATATTGAGAAGAGGGCTTTTTTTAAAAAAAGAATCCCTTCTTATCCCTCTCATATAACCCTCAGACTGCAACCTAAAATTTGATTCAATAAAATTTCAAAGGATACTGCGGCTGAGCTCTTCCTTCCATGCTACTATTATCTTCACTTTGATTTGTTGGACATAAGAGGGCAAAATACAAGAAAAGTTCACAATTTCTTTCATTCATTTTGGTCTAAATAGCAAACAAGAAAGCAAATAGAAAGGTAATGTGACCATCTCTGCCTTATATCGTTTTTGCTGTACTATACCAGGTGTGTTACTTCTCGTGAAAGAAATCTCATATTGTTGCAAAACCAGGTTTCCAATGGAATTTACATCAATTCCCAGATTTTCCTATAGGTGTTGTAAATTAAAGGTAGAACTGTAATTCTCTTTAATCCTGTTTGATATTACAGAATGGCTTCAGGAAGTAGATCATAATATATTTTGTTTAGTCAAAGGAAAAAATTTAAGGATACACATATCCAGAATAGACATACAATTTTCTTCAAACTTGCAATAATAAAGTACCACTTTAAAGGGTATATTGATGTTATATTTTTTTTAAGAAAACTTGTGTGGCCACCCTTAAAAGTGTAAGCCAACAATATAGGTATAAAGTTTTTATTTTAGAATGCATTGGTTATTATTTCTGGAATTGTAAATATCTCCAGTTATAAATATTATCCCCAATAATATCCTACTCTTTTTGCTCTCTAGCAACAGAAGCTTTTGAATCTGGTTCCATATTGTAATCATGATTATTAGCTGCTTATACACTTATCCTAAATGAATGTGTTCAATTTCCTTTAAAAGCCCTTTAAATTAATTATAATGACACTTTATTGTGAAAAGATCTGTAAGTTAATTAATATATTAAGTTAAGAAGTACTTTGTCCTGAATTATCTGCCAAACAGTGATCTAGATGCTACTAAAACTCTCATGTTTGTTTGTCTGTTTGTAACCTTCAATTGGGCAAAACAGTCCATCATACGGCAATAATTTTTAAACCAAGGTACCTCAAATGGGCTAATTTACAGAATGTGTACAAAATCCAGGAGCCATTACTCCCTTGGGACTGGAATTTGGCAAAGTTGTGGCTGCTTCAGCACCGCCACACTGCCGCTGCTTCAGTGCTGCCACAGTCAGCCATGGTTAGATGATAATTATTTCCAGTGTTCCTGACAACCTTCCACAAGTCAGTGGGGAAGCTGGCAGGAAGTCTAAACTTGATCGTGATTGCCAACTCTCCCTGCCAGCTTCCCACAAGCAAAGTCAGTGGGGAAGCTGGCAGGAAGGTGCAACTCCAAGGCCAGCAGGCAAGTAAGTGGCTGCTGCCAGGTGGGGGAGGGAGCGAGGGAGGGAGCAAGGGGGTGCACAAGAGGCATGGTGCAGATCAGGGAGGGTGTGTGGGGGTGCAGGTCGGGGAAGGTGCACTGGGTTGTGGCATGGGTTGGGGAGGGTGCACTGGGTTGTGCCATGGTTT